AATGCATTTTTTGCTGAGAAAATGAAGTTCTAATGACTTCGCTGAAATTCGGTGGATAAGGGTAGTCTTTGTTTTGTACTCCATGATCAATATCAAAGTGGAGCTCATTGGTCTCTATCAGAAAAGCAATGTATCTTATCAGCCATGTTGTTGCATCATATATTCAGAAAAAAATTGCTGAGACTTGAAGATTTTGAGCAACATTAACAAAAGTGTTAGCCTTGCAGGAATCAGCCCCCTGTAAAGAGAGACGAACTAGCTCTGTGTGGTATCAAATCACTGAACAAACTACTATTAATCTATACAGCCATAGGATTAGATCTTTAGTTAATACAGACATATTTTTGTGCTTCCTATCTTCTTTAGATTTACAGCTGTAATTTTTTTCTCTGCTACTTTTGTGATTCAATGTAGAACTAAATGCAATAATAGATATTTGAAATTATGTACAAATTCTAATTTAATCTGTACAATTTCTTAGAACCAAAATTGTTTTCTCAGTTTCTTTTAATACAAATTTTGTTTTTCAGGCAGTCACTCAGTCTTACGTATTTCCTTATTTTTTTGTTTGGTTGTCTTATTTCTTAGTGTTCCTACTTCCATTATTAATGAAATAAACTATTCACTTAAAGATCTCTGAACAATATAAGATGTGCAGGGATGGTTTTCTCTACTACAGAGAAAAGAAAGCAATTAAATGTGTGCATCAAACTGCTAGAAATGCAGTCTTCAGTCTGTATTTTTAAATTATCTTGTGCTGCTTTAGATTTATTTTTACATGGCAACCCTATCTCTGCAACTTTTCCAATAATACTGAAAATGGTGTGATAGATTAAACTTTACTTACTCTTGAGTAATGGTTGCTTAAGCTCTGGACATACTAGGTGACTTATGGCCTACAGATGTATCTCAGTTGCAGAGGCAAAAATGGATGACCATAGTGACTGGGAAGAAGTTACAGGAGTGTGAGAAGGGACAGCCAGTACATTCCTGAGGGTGAGCAGGTTGTTAACTTTGCAGTTTGTGTTAGAACATCTGCTGGCTGCCTACTTATTAAAAAAAAAAAAAACAGTCTGTAAAGAAAGCACAGCCTGTACTTTGAATATGGTTAACTACTGGGCCAAGTCATTCATCTGGTCTCTGTGGAAGACAAGTTGTGATTTAAAAAAAAAAGTGAGTGTGCGAGAGCATGAAAGAAAAAGAAAGGAAGGAAAGGAGGAAGGGAGGAAAAGTGAAACACTGGAAAATAATAGGCTTCTTTGGTTATAGATGTATAAAAATATGTGTTCCTTCTCTCAAGGTTTTCAAGAGATCGTGGCTCGTGGATTGCCCAGTGGCTATTGTTATAAGGCATCTTTCCCTTGTGCCATTGGCTCTGTTGATAGCATCATCCTTGATTCTATCTTGTATCCATTATGAATATATGTTTCTAGGGGCGAATTCTGGAACCAGGCATATATGTGCTTTACAGCAGGGAACAAGGATGGAAAGAAACACGTCTGTTCTTCCACAGAAAGGAAGGAAAACTTTCCCAGTGTTCAATATTATATAGAATGGAGGGTCTTTTACATGTTGAATGCGTAGTGGGTGTAGGTAGTTTTGCATGCCCTGAATCTATCTGTACTTTTCCCTGTGATCATGTAAGAATTATCAGAATCATATCAGAATAATAGAAATTACAGAACTGTTAACTGGGAGAGAGGTAACCTCTGGAGGTTACCTAGTCCTTCAGCTCCTAGCAGGACTGTTGCCAGCACTAGATCAGGTCAGCTGTACCTTTGCCTAGCTGCATCTTCAAAACTTTCTGCTTTGAAGCTGCATGTTCCCATTTTGCATTACCCTTCTGATAAAGAAGTTTTTCTTACCATCCTGTGACCCTCCAAACCTGCAGCTTGTGGCTGTTTCCCCTTATTTTACCATGTGCTGCTACTTAGCGTTTGGCTTCATAATCTTTCTAATCCCCCTTCAAGTAGTGGTAGTCTACTGTCAGACCTCTGCTTAGCCTCCTCTTTGATGGAGAGGAGGTCCTCCTTGCTGGAGACGAGATCTTTCCTTCACTGGAGTCTGCACTTTCTCAATACCTTTTTGAACTAAGAGACCCGAACCTGTAGTAGTGTTGCAGCCTCACAGCACTGAGTAGAGGTGGATAATAATTTCCCTCTATCGGGTCACCATGCTGTTCCTAATATAGCCCAATATGGAATTTGTCTGATTAACATTGAGTGCATATTTAACCTGGTGTCCACTGTGAATTCCAGGTCCTTTCTCATCCCATATTGATGTGGGATTATTTAACTGGAGGTGCAGAACTTCACCTTTATCCTTGTTGAGATTCACGTGGCTCCTGTTGGTCTAGATGTCAAGGTTTCTTATGGTCCATCTGCTAAGTGACACACATTGACCTTAAGTGCACCACTGGATTTAAAAAAAGAGCTTACATCCCATATTGTTTGAATAGAATTTTTGCAATACTGTTTAGGAAATAAGAAACAGTCCTGCTTCCATAAAAGGGAAATAAACAGAACCAAGACCAATATTATTTTAAAAGATGGATGCTAAGTGGTAGGGTAGAGTTGTTAGATTTGAACTGTCACATTAACATGAACTGCAAGGGTATGTGACCATTAAGCAGGTTACACTGGGACTAAGACAGGTGCTTAGCCCAAATAGCAGAAGAGCATTAGAACATTCTTTGAAGGGGAGCAGTGAAGGGCAAAGATGCTTTTTAGGATGGAATCTGGTAGGTTGATGGGTAGAATTAAGTTACATATTTGTCTGTAATAACAGGACAGTGGACACAATGACCCAAGACTTCATTTTGGCCCAGAAGGTCCCATCCTGTGTCCTATGCTCCCTTTATGTAAAGAAGCTGTTGAAATTTTGCATATTTAAAACTTTCTCTCTCTTTTGTCTGACCTTTTCTTTACTATGATTTTGATACATATATTGCCCATAGCAAATGCCAACCACAATATTTTTGTCTTCCTTATGTTGTCTTACATTATTTATCTTTATATGTCCAAGCTGCAGACTTAGTTTTATGCAGGGAGACAGAAATAGCTGTTATTGTGAAATGTGTGCATGGTAGGATTTGCTTGAATTTAAGTGTTTTTTCAGTATGTTTCTCAGGAATGCTGATAATTCATATTTTTTGTAACCTCTGTGGTGCTCTCTAGCCAAAGAAATCTGATGGCTTTTGGTGCACAAACCATTCACATTTCTTCTGTGAGGCCACTTCACCCTTGTTATCCAGTAATTGTTCCAGTTTATTGGTGATAAATTAAGTGGAAGGGACAATTTTGAAGTATGTATTAGGAAAAAAATCTGGAGAAGGGAGTGAGGAGAAGGAGGATGTCCATCAGTTTCACTGGCCCGGAGGATCTCATGCAAAATATAATGCAGCTGAGGAGAAGATGCCTTGGGTGAAGATCGACAGTGTTTATCAAGTGTACTCAAAGCAGAGGAAAAAGGCAGGAGTATGGGACTGAGCTGAGTAGAGAATGAGATCCACGAATCCTTGCTTTGTACTAGGAGAAAGCCTTATCTCTCATAGTAATCCCGGGGTGCTGCTTGTTGGAGGTGAAGACCTGGAAAGGAGTACATAGTTTATTGATAAGCCTCTACATTTATTAAGACACCAGTGTCAGATTTATAAATGGATATATCACATCCTATACATAACCAACCCTAAATGGCCTGTTCACGGGGAAAAGAAATCTAGCCTCCCAAATTAAAGACCTTGCACATGTGAATATAAACATCTTTGTTTAAATTGCAAACAGTCAAGGCTTGTTTTTTGTTTGATTGTATGCGAAAGTGCCAAGCTGTGTAACAAATAGCAAATAAATAGTTTTGTGTGTAATGTCTGTGCTGTTTTTGAGTATATGATAGTAGAAGATTGTAATCCTTACTGAGCAGTTGTAGTCCATATAATTAAAGCTGTGTGTGATAAGTGAGTAACATCATATGTTCCTGAATAAGTTTAAAAAAAATGAATAATTTTCTGTGTCTTTTATAATTGGCTTTAATATTTGCAAAGCAACAGATAACTAAAAGTATTATACAAAGTGATGAAATGATGATTTCTGAAGGTAAAAAGAACAAATGTCTTAACTGATCTGTTTTGATAGCAGTGACTTTTACAATTTATCCAAATCAAATATGCTATTACTATAGAAAGAAGAAGCCACAAAAAATATATTATCCAATTAGCTAGGAAGAGAATTCAATGTATAACTCTGTTTAAAGTAAGAATTTTGGTAAAATGAAGAAACTAATAATGTTTAAAAAAAGCATTGAAACTAATCTGAAGTTGGAGCTTCAATGATACAAGGTGGTGATACATTAACTTAAAATTTCTTCAAGTGTATTAGGGTGATTTAAAGAAAATCTGGTAATGTGGAAGGAAGAATAAGTTAATGTAAACTTCCACATCAAGATGAAAAAATTGCAAGACTGTAAAATTAAATGCAGACCCTCTTAAATAGCTTACAACTTTTTGAATCTCCTTAGTATGGGATAACACTGTCTCAAACTCCCTTATTAGGTAGAACTCTGTGGGTCCTAATTAAATAAAGGCTGATGTAATGAATAGTGAAAGTATACCACTGCGTACCTTTTAAAGATATATCCAGGGCCCTGTTCTACAGCATTTTCTGTAATGAATGCAATTTCTAATGAATGCAAAGAATCCTATTGACCTGGATGGGACTATTTGTTTAAGCAAAGGTACAGTATACTTTCCATGTTTGCAGAAACAGAGTCTTTTTCTCTCACAGAATATGAAAACAGGAAAATCTCATGCAATTATTTTATAATAACCTTGTCAGTACAGCTATCATAAAGTGCTCTGCAATTAAAACCTGTAAAATAAACTGCCATGACATATTGTATCTCCTTAGTCCTGATCAATACAACTTACCCACTTACTGCAAATTCTAACTAGTAAAAGAGCTGTTAAATTACGTTGTCTTTCATTGTGCTTTTTTTGTCTTTTACAGGAAAAAGTAGAATATGCCTTCCTGATAATTTTTACAGTTGAAACATTTTTGAAGATTATAGCATATGGATTATTATTACACCCCAATGCGTATGTTAGAAATGGATGGAATTTATTGGATTTTGTAATAGTAGTAGTAGGGTAAGTAACTTTATCCTTCATTATACAAAGATTTAAAATTTTCTTTACAGTGAGGTAGATATAGGTCTGTTTGGCTGTGAGTAACAGCCTATGCTTGATTTCTATTCTTTTGGAGTAAAAGAATGAACTGGTATGAGTGAAAAATTCAAAACAAAGTCCTAAGAGTTTTCAATGCTATCTGTGGCTGCAGGCTGTGTTGCACAATCAGCTTTGTAGTAAAAGTTCCCAGGGAATTTTGAGTTCTGCCAAAAAATTTCCTTGGCTGTTGTCTTGCAGAATCTTTTCCATCTGATTTTTTCCAAGGTAAACTCTGGGTGTCTTCCCATGTGATAAAGGTTTATCTGTTTAGATCCATACGTTATGTCATTTATTCATTTATGTGTATATTGCGCTTATGTGGAGTTCATCTGTCCTACAAAGACCTCTGGGAGAACCCACATGTTTCAAAGTGGCGGAGAGTGGTCACTCAGTTAACTGAGTGAAATCTGAGGAAAATTTGACACTTCAGTACTTTCTTTTTGGGTACTGCAGATCAGGCCCCATATATATATGATTTTTGGCATAGAATCATTAAGGTTGGAAAAGAC